TATCAACCTACTCTAGGGCTACAAAATTTACAGCAAGTACATAATAATCTAGTGAGCCTACTGTAAAATTTTCATAGCCATATCTATCGCCAATCTACCAGACAAATTCCTACAATTATTAATCCACATAATATTAAGCTTTCTAGTTTGATTTATGAACCTACCATCATCCCAGCAACTATAATCTAAATGTACTAACAAGTAGATGATATTTTTGTGAACCTAACAAAATTGGTCTCCCTATTTTTGGGCAACTACATAATTTACTACAATTTCTACCGCGTGGCCCGTGAGCGACGGCTCGGCACACCCCGGCGACCCGCCCGCGCACAGACGCAGCAACCGGCGCAACCCACCTCAGCGGCGCGCGACGCGGCCCATCTCAGGCTGCCCACAGTGGAGCCGCGCGCTCCTGGCTAATTAGCAAAAAAGCCCCCGTTCTCTACCTTATTCGCACAACCCACTAGAATACTATTTCACCGAGTCATAGAGTTTGCATCTAGGACCCTACTTCTATTCGAATTCGCATTTTATGAATTCCCCGGCTAGACTAACAGGGCCGCGGCCTCGCTGGCCAAACGCTGGTGAGCTCCGACCTCTCCGACACACACTAGCACCCCCATGGGCATCTACCCGAACGCCTCTACTGCTACTCGGTGACCATCAGCAGCCTAAAAGTAACCACCTTGAAGCCCTAATTCAATAGCTGCTACGCCCAACTAAGCTAACCATAGGAGCGGCATCAAAGCTAGTTCACCGCCTGCCCACCCCGCGCTCCAGTGAGCATTGGCCCTAATTGAGTTAACCAGCTACTCTAGAAGCAATAGGAGGAAACGGAGGATGGCGGCGACGGTGTCTCGGCTTTATAGCGCAGCCAATGACACGGAGACGACGCGCAGCAGCTTCTCCATGCTAGCGCGGAGCCGAAGGTGGCCACGGGCGCGACTGGAACGCGGTGGAAGCTCACCGACGGTGAGGTGTCGGTCACGGGTACTGTTCACAAAATTTACCGAATTGCCACTCGTCTAATTTCTCAAATTACTCCCAAATTTGTATGGTAACTCAAAAATCTCCAAAACTAAAAGTTGTTCCAAATTTAAAGTTCTACAACTTTGCTTTAATAACCATACTCTAATTCGGTCTACATTTTAAAATACAAGTTTGAAATCAAAAGGGGACACTTTGAAAATTTATCCCTTTTCAAATTACTTCAAATTTTATATAACAACTTTGAAAACTCCAAAAACCAACTTTGTACACCTTGACAAGCTCTACACTTTTGCTTTTAGGCTCAACCCCAAAATGTGCTTAGATTTTGAATTAGGTTTTTCAGGATAGAATTAAATGCTGGAAATTATGGTTTTTGGAAATCTCATTCAATACAAACGTTTTGAACTTGATTCAATCCATACAAGTCAACACATATAACATAAAAGTAAACTTGTTTTAGTGAATGCATATCAAAGTTTTCACTAGCACACAAATGATGTGCAATGCATATGATGACATGACATGTTTTAGTATTTAAAACACCCGAGGTGTTACACTTATCTAGTGGTTAGTGAGGCTCTTTAGTTAGTCTTTGAAAGCTCACTAACTTAGTGGTAGTGATCTAGCCTTTGTGTGCTTAGAGACTATAGCAACTAGAATTGTAGTAGGTGGCTTGCATTTTTAGTAGGCTAGCGTAAGAATTGCTTTGCCTCATATTTATCTAACCACTTTGCTTAGTGTTGTTGTAGAAATTTTTATAGGCTATTCACTCCTTCTCTAGCCATTAGGACCTTTCACTAGCTTTATACCTGTCGAAGGTTGGATGCGACCAAGCGATGGGGAGAGAGACACCGAAACCACAAAGACTTCGACTCGATCTCCGAACGACCATAGAACCACAATCCGAAACTAATCTACACAAAATGGTGCAGCCGTACTAGAAACCGTAGAGCTTGAACTAGGGGAACTTAGAGGGATCTCTTCACAAGTCCAAGAAGAACGAGAAAGAATAATGGTTTGAGTAAGGCACTCGGTAGCTCGGCTACAATATCATGTAGTTTATCAAATCATCAAAGGTTTCTAATAGCTTAGAGGCAAGGAATATTTATACTAGGAACAACCCTCCTAGTTGGGTGTGAAAATAAAATGGAGTTTCTAAAGATAGGCTATTTGAAAGGTCACCACAAGATGGATTTCTGAAGTCGTCTCGCGTGACTGTTGGTCTCCTGAGTAGTCTCCACTAATCTGGTCATAACACTTTATTGGGAAGTCCAAAATACTTGGAACTTGCGCCATTGGAAACTAGACTTGATAAGCTTTTCAAAGTGTCCTCATGGGCCTCCAAAGGTTCACGGAATCGAGAGTTATGAATGTTTTTTCAGCTGGTCCATTTTTCACTGTATTGGTCCGATCTGATGGTCCGTTTTTCACTGTGTTGGTCCGAACTGATGGTCTATTTTTCTTAGTGCTGGTCTGTTGGATTCATAAACTTGGGGTCCCTCGCAGACCGGCTTCCCAAACAAAGGCTCAGCCCAAGCAAACAATGCGCAACTCATGGGCCGACCCAGGTATCTGAACAACAGGCCAGAAGGGTGATCCAATCACCGATCGGAAGGTCTGGCCAAGGAGGAATGGCGCCTGTTTTCCGACTCTGGCCCACCTCTCTGACCAGAGCGCTTGCTTCGATCTCCAGCCCACCTTTAGACGGCCTCTCCGACCGAAAGGCCTGGCCAAAGCACTACTTCTGACTCTGACCCGCGTCTCCAACCGAGGATACGCCAAGCCCCTGCTCACTGCTCTTCTCCGACTGGCGCGATCAGAGCCGACTGGGACCAACCGACCGGGGACGCTCGCTCGGTAAGGACCAGGAAACGGACGGAGAAAGTAAGGCAGGGCGCACAAGTCAAACCACAATACAGGGGTCCATACCATGTACACATGCGGAAACAGTACTCTGCTACCTCCTTGGCACGTCAGAACCCAAGCAATATTGTAGGCGCCGATATTTTCTCCTATAGTATTGTGGGCGCCATTAACTCCCATACGGTAAGGCTCCCCCCATATGCCTCCAGGCATCGACAGTGTTATGGGCGCTGACATTTACCATACCAGGCCAACATGGTAAAACCCCTTGCATGCCTTCAGGTATCAACAGTATGGCAAGTGTTGACGTCTGCCATATCCGAAGAAGACAACATAACCTCCCACGTGCATCTGACATCCAACAGTGTTGTGGACGCCTACCATCATCCTGTACCCGCCGCGCGTGGGCAACAAGGCTTAGGAGCATACGTACTCTCTCCCTCTCACTTGTTAAACTTAAAATTGATTAACTTTGCAAGATTAGAGAATTGATTAACTTGTCAAGATTTGTATTCATTTTGAGACAAAAGAAGTAGCTTTTATTATGTATTTACAATTTGAAACGACGAGGGTATTTAAGATACTAGAGGAAATGTTATGTGAACCATGTGCGCGAACAAAACTTTCTACCCTTCTGCTCCCTATGTCCCTAATTATAAGGCGTTTTGACTCTTCTAGATGCATTACTTTTATAATATATCTAGACATAGTATATAGCAAAGTGCATAGCAAAAACTAATGTATATAAAAAAATTAAAACGTCTTATAATTTGAAATTGAGGGAGTATTAGTTTTACCCAATGCGCAAAGGATCACACCTAGGGGCATGCTACGGTCCCACAACAAAATTTAAAGGAAAAACTAAGGTATCCATATTACTCCATATCTTTTAAAGTGAAAATAGGAATAATAATTTCAGCTATGAAAGAAAATTAAATAAATGGAGAAATACATGTTTAATCAGACCTATTAACGTTTGGATGTCTGCTCCGGGGCGTTAGCGTTTTTTAGCCAATCATAATTAACACCGATGTCTAATGTAATTGACCTGGTGTTTGGCTAATCCTAGATTCACTGCTGAGCATCTCTAAGAGATTAGCCAAATCATTTTCTAAAAGTAAATTTGGTTATTATTAAAAGAAAGATGTCTCCAGCGGATGCTGTAAATGACTCTCCAAATTTAGTAGCTCTCCGTCCTAACTCATTCGCTCTCTGTTCTCACTAGCCATCTATCTTATTGGTTTTATAGAGTTTGTTGGAGTACTCTAGTATATTTTTTAAAATATATTTTAGAGAGTAGCTAAATCAGTAAATTTGGCTTTTTTTTTTGCTAATCTCTTGAAAATGTTCTTAATAAAATTGCGTTTTCACTTAAAACAGTCCTCATGATCGGATGAATGCCCTCGATGCCTCCTTTTCCCTTTTGCTTCAAGCCAAGGCAACTACTGACAGGGAGGCGCGACCACAATGCACGCACGACAGGAGAAGCATGAAATCGGCATGGACCTTTTTCCCCCCCTACGACCTGTCTATCTTGACATTCATTCACCGATCTCCCCTTTATTTGAGCCTACGATTCGAGGGACTCATAAATTTTTTTATTAGGATTGGATTTGCGGAACCGTTAGAGCTATAACACCTCTAAAATAACAATTTTCTTATTGGGGTTGAAGAAGGGGACTGTTGGAGATATTCACAGTGGAGAAAACTCTAACCCTAGAAATTAGTTTTTTTGAGATACAAAACGTGTTTTGAGATTTTGAAGGTCTTTTCTTTAGCAGAATGAGAAAATCCAATTTCTAATGAGAAAAATAGTGGATAGGTGGAGGAGAGGTCTTTCTTTTATTTGAGGGATGGGAGGCTATAATTAGAGTGATTTAGAAATTTTTTTCCATTGAAGTTAGGTTTAGAAACTGCTGGAGCTCCGAAGTAACAGTTTTTTTCGATTCAGTGTTAGGAAAGGAGGACGGCTGGATATTGCCTTGGCCCACGTCTCCGCAGCATGGGCAAACCGTAGAACAGCTGGCCGACTATCTAGCACGACCGAAAAGGATATTCACGCCGGCCTGCACTGCAGCCTGCAAGTGTGCATTGCTGCGCTTCTCCCTCTCCCCGATCCTCCCTTCGACTCGGCCTAGACCTCCCCGATGGCGGATCCCGGCGGCACCATCAATCCCTTCGCTTCCCCAGCCGGCGCCGCCTCATCGCCGTGGGACGACCTACCCGACGACTTCTTCCTCTCCACTTCCATCTCCTCCCCGTCCCCTCCCCCTCCCCCGGCCCCCATCCCCTCCACCTCGCCTCGCCTCGCCACGCCCCACCGATCCGCCTCCACTCCCTCCGCTGCTGCCTCCGCCTCCGCCTCCGCCTCCGCTTCCTTCTCTGACCCGCGCCCCCGCGCCGCTCCGGCATCGCATCAGCATCAGCCGCAGCTCCTCCACCCCAGCCACTCACTCCCCACCTTCCCCGCCGCGGCCTCCCGCTCCCCGGCCGCCGCAGTACGAGTATGGCCACCGCCCCCCGGGCCACACCACACGGGCTCAATCCCGGAGTTCGCCGCCGCCCCGGCCTCCGGCGCGCACCTCCCGCCCGCGCGCACCGCGGTGCGCGGCGACCGCCCGCCCCCGCTCGACCTGCGCCCGCGCCCGCCCAGGGAGTCGCAGGCCGGTGCGGCGCTCCGAGTGCTCGCCTGCTGTTGCGATGCTTCCCGGGCCGAGGCCGGCGTCGGCGCCCGTCTCTGGGCCGCGGGCGAGGCTGGCGTCAGGGCGTGGGACCTCGCAGACGCCTTCCGGTCGCCGGCGTCTCAGCAGCGTTGGGGCGATGAGGCGTCTGCGCCCTTCAAGGAGTCGCGCAGGACGCCCCCGGCGCTCTGCCTCGCGGCGGACCCCGGTCGCGGCGTGGTGTGGAGCGGCCACGCGGACGGCCGGATCATGGGATGGAACGCGGATCCTGGACCGGAGGCGGGGGAGTGCCTCTCATGGGAGGCACACCGTGGGCCAGTGTTCGCGTTGGCTGTCTCTCCCTATGGTAGGTCTCCTCGCCTCTATTTTCTGTCGATCAGAGCTGGTTTTGCACGTATTCAGATACAATGTAGCACTACATTCCTGATTATTGGAGGATCGTGAATGATTTTGCCTTTGAACCTTTAGGAAGCCTCACGGGAGGTTTGGAGATACTAACCACGAAAGTAGAGCTGTATTTTTTTTATCCCTGTAGTTATCCTGCATTCTAAAAATTTTCTCCAGATCAGTCTTGTTTTGTGCTACCTAGTGGTTACATACGTTCAGTTACTTGCTTACATTCTTGTTGGCAATTGTAGGATCGATAGTAGTATATGCAGCTGTTAAGCTGCTGCTACACCACTCTTTGAGAGAGAATGGTGGCTGAACTGGGCTAGGATCGATAGTAGTATATGCAGCTGTTAAGCTGCTGCTGTTGCACTACACTTTGATAGAGATGGTGGAGGCTGATTGTGGGCTGCTACTGCTATGAGCTGCAGCTGGCTGGTCTATTCACCACTTATTTATAGCTGAATAGGAGTACAGAAAAACAGTCCTAGTGGCTTTCTTACAGCCTAAAAAAAGCAGGGCTACTAGCGCCCAGATGTGTGGACAGAAGCAATCCGTCCAGACGCTTCCGCTGCTCGTCCCACCCCCAGCGCTCCTCCCCTTCCCTTTGCTGACACACACTGTGGCTCCCTCCTTTCTTCTATGACGCAAATAGTAAAACCTGTCGATGATGGTTGCGCTCCCTATAGTGCCGGCTCAAACACCGCACCTTGCCGTACATGAGGGAGAGAGATGGAAAGAGAGAAATGAATCAGATGGTAATCATTGCTCGCAGCATTGAAAAACAAGGTTCGCAACACTAAAGAAATAGTGTATGCAACATTGAAAATAAACATATGCAACATTGACAATACAAATCAAAGCTAGAACATCACACGTATGCACGTAGCTAGTTTGAGCAAAAAAAATCTCACCGCAACATTGCCTTTTGCTTCACGTTCAAACCGTAACATCTCAAAATCAAACCATGTGACATAAGAAAATTAGCCGATGAAACATATTGAACCACCTCATGTAACATCCAAAAAAACATGTTGCAACATCTCAAATCAACTATTGCAACAACCAAAATCTCCCATTAGAACACTACAGAACCACATAGCTAATGCTAGAACATCTGCAAAAATACAACAGTAACATCCTAAAATGGGTACTGAAATGCAAGAACATCCAAAAATCAACTTATTTCAAACATCCCATAGAGATACTGCAACCTACAAGAAAACCAATTGCAACAAACAATCTAAGTTATTGAAACACATTTCGTGGAAAAATCAGTGAACCATTGACATGCTGCTCCAAGGAAGCAGCATTCTTGCCGGCCATGGTGCTCCCGATGGGCACCTTCTCGCCACTCTCAGAGATGATGTTCTCTGCTGCGAACTCGATTGTGGCTACGTGGAGATCCGCTGCGCGAGAACTCTGCAAACACAACAACATCCTGGCCCCGTTGTGAGTTGAAGGCACGGCTGGTAGGCGACGAGAGGTATATCAGTGACAGCAGTGGCCTGAGCCATCTTCTCTGCTGTGTGGGGAGAGGTGGGGAAAGAGATGAGGCCAAATGAGAGAGGAGAGCATTTAAGTGGATAGGAACGAGCCAGTGGTATAGAATAAAATACAGGTTAGGAGAGGACATGTTGATTATGTGGATATGTTTGAGCCACATTGGCGTCCGGATCAAGGACACACATCCGGACGTGTGAGCCATATCATTTCCGTAAGAGAAGACCTTGACTTACATCCTAAGACTTGACTACTTACATGCCAAGAAAGCTTATTGACCAAGCTAGGAGACTTGCTGACCAAGGGTCAGCAGAAAGCCTAATATGACTCTATTAGCTAAGCAAAGGATTGACACAAGGATTATTTATCTATCAATTATCCCCCTAATCCTTGTGTCCATGCTTGTGACTGATCTTGACCATTCCAATTCTTGCGCACAATTTTTGGAACTTGACTCGCCCAAGTGATTTGGTTAGGATATCGGCGAGCTGGTCATTGTTGCTGATGTAGCTAGCATTAATGCTCCCCTCCTCCATGCAGTCCCGGATGAAATGATATCGGAGATCAATGTGCTTGCTCCTGTCATGGAAGACGGGATTCTTTGCAAGTGCCAGGGCAGACTTGCTGTCCACCTTGAGTTCTGCCTCGCAAGAAGACAGGGCCACCACACGCTGCTTGATCGATTGCCAACTGATCAAGCAGTCACCGAAGAAGAAGAGGATGCACTGGTGCTCTTCCTCGTGTTTACGCCGCCAGCCAGGTTGCTATCAGCATCGCAATATCCGACCAGCCGCGCTACTCCGTCCGTAGCACAGACCAAAGTTCAGGGTCCCTGCGATGTAGCGTAGGATGCACTTTACCGCGTGGAGATGCTCCCCCGTGGGCTTCTCCATGAACTGGTTCACGAACTCGACAGCAAGCGCCAGGTCTAGCTAGGCGTGTACAAGATAGCAGAGGCTTGCAACGATCAGCCGATAGTGCGTCAGGTCCACGGTCCGCCGTGCTTTCTCGGCTCAACTTGAGCCGCTCCTCCATGGGGGTGTGGACTGGACAGCCGGCCGTGCCCGCCAGCTCGAGGATGCGCTTGGCGTAGTGGCCTTGCTGCAGTGTGATGCTATCGTTGCCCTGGTGCACCTCGATGCCCAAGTAGAAGCAGAGCAGACCGAGGTCACTCATGTGAAATGATGTCTTCATCTTGGCCTTGAACTTCTCCACTCTGTCCTGTGACACGCTAGTGATGATGAGGTCGTCCACGTACACACTGACCAAGAGGAGCGAGATGCTGTTACCATGCTGATACACCCTGTGCTCATACTCCCTTTGGTGGAAGCCGTCCTCCTTGAGCATGCGGTCGAGCTTCTCATTCTAGGCGTGTGGCGCTTGACGCAGGCCATAGAGGACCTTGCGCAGCCGCAACACCTTGCCTTCTTGCCCGGCGACGACGAAGCTTGGCGGCTGTCACACATACACCTCTTCCTTCAAGTCCCCATTAAGGAACGCAGACTTGACGTCCATGTGATGGACGGGCTACCCCTCTTGGGCAGCCAAGGCTAGCACGAGCCGCGGCTAGCACGAGCCGCACCGACTCCAAGCGGCGACTGGCGCGAACACCTCCATGAAGTTGACGCCCGGCTGTTGGACAAAGCCACAGGCCACCAACCACGCCTTGTGCTTGACCACTTTCTGGCCTGGTCCTTCTTGAGCTTGAACACCCACTTAAGGGTGGTAGCTTGATGGCCATGTTGGAGATCCGTGAGATCCCAAGTGCGGTTCCGCACCACCACATCGATCTCTTGATCTACATCGCCGTCCGCCAGGCCTCGTCTCTCTCCGCCTCCGCAAAACGAGCATGGCTCCCTATTGCTCGCGAGGTACAGCTTGGCGTCGAGGTCATGTTATGCGAGCCTGGGGGAGTTGCATCACCAATGATGTTGTCAACCATAGCGGACCGGTGACTGCCCATGAGTCGCATAGAGCCACTCGTCGTCATCCGCCCTTGGCGACACAAACTCAGGTGATGGTGGTTCTCGAACCGCTCGTTGTCATCCGCCCTTGGCGACACAAAGACAAGGTGCGGGCGCAGCAGGCCCCCGGCCGCCGCAGAGGTCGGAACTGGCCCCAGACGACCGAGCGAGCTCGCTGACGGCGGAATACCCGGGCACCGCGGGTCATGTCGTCGGCCACCCGGCTAGTGGTGAGCAGGGACCAGGGAGAGGCTGGGGGAGAGAGGAGGGGTGGGGGGGAGGGAAGGGGCTGCTGATGGCTGCCTTTTTTAGCACCACCGCTAACCGGAGAGCGGCGGCGGCGGTGGGCAGGCAGCTGGCCGAGGGAGGGGCCCTTCGGCGGCATGGGCGCGTCGCCCCGAGTCGCCTCTTGGAGAGATGACACGGGGTTCTCTTTTTAGGTACCCAATACAGAACATTGGCTATTCAAGAAGTTGTATGCCCTTGTGTAATTCTAGGTCCTGTTGAGCATAGTACAAGATAGTTAGATGCCTGTTGTGTGCCTACTAACTATCAGCGGAAATAAGTAATCGACCAATTGAAAAGTAGCCACACGCTGCGAACGTTCTAGATCATGTTATGGTCTCTATCATTGGTTTGGTAAATATATTTAGCTGCTATGTTATTCAGAATTGAATAAGAACATTAACAATTAATTTGAATAGCAATCATTTACATGGAGTGCTTGGGCTACTATTATGGAATGCAGGGAGTAGTGTTATCAACAGTAACCTACCTCTCCAATCATGCACCCATGAAATACTGATATAGTGATGTTTCTTGCATGTCTTATAGGCGATTTGTGGTCTGGGTCTGAAGGGGGAGCAATCAAAGTATGGTATGGAGAACCGATTCAGAAGTCACTCATTTCACAAACAGAAGAAAAGCGTAAGACCTCCTTTTTAGTTGAAAGATCATCCATTGACCTTAGGGACATGGTCAGTGATGGAGGGGCCTGTCCTTTGCCTGCCGTAGATGTAAAACTTCTATTGTCTGACAATTCTAGATCAAAAGTATGGAGTGCTGGTTACCTCACATTTGCACTCTGGTACACTTCATGTGTTCATTTATCTTGTTGCATTTGAATGACATTAGTCCAGCTATTTCTGTATTTGTGTAATACTGTTATCTATTCTGCTATGCAGGGATTCTCGCACTAAGGAGCTTCTAAAAGTGGTAAACATTGATGGCCAAGTTGATACCCGTTTCGACATCTTATCTGCTCAGGATCCATATAGCTATGGGACAAAGCAAACTCTGTTCTCTCCGAGGAAAGAGAAAGCTCGCAGTCCTGTTGGCTTCTTGCAGAGATCACGAAATGCTTTGTTGGGAGCAGCTGATGCAGTCCGGAGAGTTGCTGTTAAAGCAGGTTTCGGAGATGACACTCGACGAATTGAAGCATTTACAATGTCAACGGATGGGATGATCTGGACAGGATCGGCAAATGGCTCTCTTGCCCAATGGGATGGCAGTGGTAATCGTCTGCAAGAGTTCCTGCATCATTCATCATCTGTCCAATGCATTTACAATTTTGGAACAAGAATATGGGTGGGTTACATGGATGGCAACATCCAGCTGTTGGACCTTGAAGGCAACTTGTTAGGAGGATGGATTGCACATAGTAGTCCAATTCTGAGTATGGCAGTTGGAGGTTCATATATCTTTACACTGGCTGGTCATGGGGGAATCCGTGGATGGAACTTGTCATCACCAGGGCCTCTTGACAGCATTTTGCGTTCAGAGTTGATTGAGAAAGATTCATCATACAAAAGTTTTGAATACATGAAAGTATTAGTGGGTTCTTGGAATGTTGGGCAAGAAAAGGCGTCCTATGAGTCTTTAAGAGCTTGGCTAAAACTCCCAACACCAGAGGTTGGGGTTGTTGTAATTGGATTGCAGGAGGTGGACATGGGTGCTGGTTTTCTTGCAATGTCTGCAGCCAAAGAAACGGTACAGATGTCACATTCAGAAATTTTAGTTTTTTTATTAGTTTTTAAATAATGGTTATTTCTGCTAGTCATTTGAAGTTATGTCCTATATGCTGGGCTAGACCAACTCCTAGAAACTTGTAGTGCTGGATCAAAATACTGCATATTAAATTTTGGTTAACAACTAGTTAGTTGAATTCTTTTTTGGTTACATACCATTGCCTCATTGTTCAATCTTCTGAGCTTGGCGTAAATTTTACCTGCAGGGCTGCGAATTTTTTTAGAATTATGGCTTGCTTTTCAGTTTTCAGAGTTTCACAAATTCTCTGTGATGAGGTTGTTGCAAAGAGGATGTTTGTTTATTACCTGTTTCTAATTCATCCCTTGTTTTTTTTTCAAGAATACTAATAGACATAACTATTTAAAAATGGCTACCATTTTTCAGTGAAAAACAAGGCGACATTCCGCAGTCGCCTAGGCGCGACTAGGCGCTGGGCGGAGGCCTCCCGCGGGGCCTAGGGGGTGAGGCGGACATCTAGGCGGTGGGCGAAGAGGACTGGTGGGGAAGGGACGCGTGGGGGCGGCGCGGAGGTCGGGAGACGATGGGGGAGGAGCTAACGTGAGGCAGCGGCGGCCGGTGGGTGAAGAGGCGGCGTCAGGCGGTGGCGGCGGGCAGATCCGCCAAAGCAGGGACGCGTGGGGGCGGCGCGGACGTCAGGCGGCGTTGGGTGAGGAGGTAACGTCGGTGGGGGGCAACGACAACGAGTGGGGAAGGAGGCGACGTCGGGCGTCGGGCGATGGCGGCGGCGCGGGGCGAGCGATGGAAGCGAGCGCGAGCAGAGGAGGCTGGGAGGGTGAGAGACGGGGCTGGGAGGGGAGGGGATAAGACTTGGGCGTGGGAGACTTGGGCCGTTATTGGGCCTCTCCTCTTTCTCCCCATTCTATGACCATTAATCTGCTATTTTTTCCTTTTCTTTTACGTATTTATGCATATATTAGCTACCGCCTAGAAAAACGCCTTGAAACGCCTAATCCCGCCTAGGCGCGCCTAGAAAAACATTGCCATTTTTTACTATTTGTAAATGTTGAATTCCTTGTAACATTCCTACTGGCTTTAGGTAGGACTAGAGGGAAGTCCAAATGGAGAGTGGTGGTTGGATGTAATTGGCCAGATTTTCAAGGGCCACTCCTTTGTGCGTGTTGGTTCAAGACAGATGGCTGGATTACTCATTGCTGTATGGTAATCTGAGCAGGGCCTGGCCATTTTTTCTTTGATTTGATCCTGTTATCATGGGAATTATTTAGATTCTTCTTTTTTCAGGGTCAGAATAAATCTTAAGCAGTTCATTGGAGACATTGACAATGCAGCAGTGGCATGTGGATTAGGACGAGCAATCGGCAATAAGGTGCTCATGTTATTGTACCGACCCCCCCGCGCCCACGCTAATGTGAATATTATGTATTGATTATTAAGTAGCTCATGCTATATGATCTCCTTTGTTTCTTGGGTGCTGAAATCTGAGGTCTAAGAAACATGTTGATGTGAATCCTCTTTCATGCATTCCATGTCCAGGCACTTATTTCTTGAACATCCTTTTTGTGAAAGAACAAACTTCTTTAGTTTGATTAATTCAAGTTATTTGTGGTTGCTGTGCTGAGCTGCACAGCTTAATTTAGCTGAGAACCTTTATTGATTCCAGTAAGATTTCACATGACCAATTGGGTTGAGGGGAAGAAGATAATTCTTCTTTTCTTTCCGAAATGAAGGTGGCATTACAACAATAGTATCTGACATTATTGTCATTTTGTTTAGTGGCAATATAAATTAACCAAGTATAAGTTTTTTGGATTATCTGGTGGAAACTCATATCTTGGTGTGATCATGCAAGTTTCCAAGATTGTCTTTGGATGAAGGATAAATGGATTGGACTTGGTAGGATCTTAACATCACATGATTGATAACATGGTGTTAGTGCGCTGACACATTCTGTATTCTTACGCATCAATCCTTCATCCATACCAACGGTTGGACGCTTCAAGCTTGTGCTATTGCACTAATTTACGAGTTTCTATTGGAAATGCTTCCTAATAAATGAAACATGATTCATCCTCTATGTCTCGTCTGTCATGCATTACCCACTGCTTTGTGCTTTGTGCGTATTCAGGGAAAGATTGGCACTTTCGATAAACTGAGCATTCCCCTGCACTGACATGTGATGTTCATATTTGCTTGATCACAGTTTCAATGAAAATGGAAAGAAATAATTTGTTTCTGCACTTTGTTTGATCATATCAGTAGGTTTTCTTGCAGATCAATGGGCTAACTCACTGTATCTTTGATGTATCTGATTATTTTAGGGAGCAGTAGGGTTGAGAATGAGAATACATGATAGAAGCATTTGCTTTGTAAATTGTCATTTTGCCGCACATATGGAAGCTGTGAGCAGACGGAATGAAGACTTTGACCATGTCTTCAGATCAATGACATTTTCTTCCCCTTCCAATGGATTATTGACAACATCAGGTAATCCATCTTCTCCCATTAACTTATCTGCATTTGCTTATGGACATGCAAGTTTGCAAAGATTTTGCCCAAACTTTTGCTAATATCATTCAGCGATAATTATGGAAGTGAAAATTTGAGCTTATATACACTTGTGTTGTTGTTACAGTTTCTGGTTCTGCTGCTCAGCTTCTTCGAGGAACAAATGTATGCTGTTAATCATCTTCATTTGTTTTTCAGTTTGTAGAGTTATTGTGTATCTAGATTGTGTGATTGTAAACTGACCAACATGGTGCTATTTACAGGGATCAAGACTGCCTGAGCTGTCAGATACAGACATGATCGTGTTTCTTGGTGACTTCAATTACCGGCTTTCTGACATTTCTTTCGATGAGGCAATGGGCTTGGTTTCCCGGCGATGCTTTGACTTGTTGAGAGAGAATGATCAGCTAAGAGCAGAAATGAAATCTGGGAGAGTCTTCCAGGGGTTACGTGAAGGAGAATTTAAGTTCCCCCCTACTTATAAATTTGAGAAACACATAACAGGCTTATCTGGTATAAAACTATCTGTTTAAATTCTTAGTCACTGTACTGGATTGATTACATTAGCATAACCTACATTGTAATAATTTGTATGTGCTTTATTAGTGATCTCCTGAAGCACTTATTATAGTGATCTTATCTAGTTTAACTTTTATTTGCCTTATAGGTTATGATAGTAGTGAGAAAAGGCGTATTCCAGCCTGGTGTGACAGAATTCTATATCGAGACAGCCGAACTAGTTCACAGATTGAGTGTTCTTTAGAATGTCCTGTAGTTTGTTCGATATCACTGTAAGTAGTTTGTTGTTTGCTTATCTTGCCTTGCGGTATATAATATAATATAATCCTGTTAATTAATTTGCAGTGTCTGTTATTCCATTTTTTAGGTACGACTCTTGTATGGAAGCAACGGATAGTGATCACAAACCTGTAAAATGCGTGTTCAATTTGGATATTGCTCATGTCGACAAACAAACAATGAGGCAGAAATATGGAGAAATAATGACTTCAAATAAGGAAGTGAGCCTTCAGGGCTTGGAGCCTTTCCCTGAAGTAAATATCAGCACTAATGACATCATTCTGCAAGATCAAAACCCTTCTGTTGTGAAACTACATAACAGAAGTACAAAAGAGTTGGCTTGTTTTGAGATAATTGGTCAGACACCAAACTCATCTGACACACCTTTCTCAGGTTTCCCTTCTTGGCTGAAGGTAGGTTACTGCTCTGTCTTCTCTCCTTGTCCTATGGTAACGTACTCCATTTGAGCATAGTTTAGCTATAGCCTTGGGACATGAACTATACACAGATGACTGCCCTTTATGTAGGCACATATAAGGAAGTGTTGTTAGCTATGCTCAACCAAGATGGTGGAAAGATAAAGTTTACTGAATGTGAATCTGCAAATCTTATTCTATCGAGTTTTTCAATTACATATCAAGCATATCACTGAAATGATAATAGAGACTATAAGATTGTTTTGCTAATTAAGATTTGTTCGATGCCATGAGCTTAATTGTTTGAGAACTGAAAGAGCACGCGATTACCACAGGTTTCTCCGGCAGTCGGTATAATCTCTCCTGGACAATCAGTAGAAGTGACATTGCAACATGGACAAATACGAAGTCAAGATTATCTTACTGGGACTTCAGGGAATAGTTCTGGAGCCGAGCAAGAAAAGGTTGCAACGCTGTTGGTGACAGTAACCGGAGTGGACTCGACAGCTGGGAGAGGTCACAAGATACAAGTACAGCACCGGAGCCGCAGGGAGACATTTTCATCAAGAGGTTATAACTTTGCGGATCGATTCTTTGGTTGAGCACTTCTGTGAAGCTGGTTTAGTTTGTGAACCAGAGAATTCAGGAGTACTGGCGAATGATGTTGATGTCCCATAGCCGATTTTTCTTTTCAGTTATGTGTGCATAGAGATTTGCATGTTGTAGAACAAAAATCCTATCATGAGAGTGACAAAAAAACATGGATTGAAGAGTTGAAATTTATTAATATTTTCGGAAAGACAAAAGATACGAGTACAGCGATCTAGACTGCAAAGCTGATATTTTTTTGAAGGACTCGCTCAGAAATAAGCATAGTTGGCATGGAGCGCTGAGCCGCAGGATCAGGAAACTGCTCCGACGATCGATATGGCCACATTCAATCCTGCAGCGGACAAGCACATATAATGGGGTAAAGGCGTGGCATGGCAGCACACAAGATAGGCTTGAAAATGGCCTTAGTGTCAAGATCATAAACCATAGAGTAACCGTTTCCCCTAAATATGTTGAATGCCTGTAGGAGATATGTACTTAAAATTTTAAGGTCAAATTACCACTAAAGATGATACCAATTAAAACTTGACACCTTTTGAAGGTGATCATTGGGAGCACCCTATAATTTGGAGCTTGGCATAAAAAGAATACCAATTGAGTACCTTGTGTCGTGATCCTAAACTAATAAATGATGGAGGTTGCTCATGGATAAGAGTGATCATAAGCAAACCTATCATAGGATTTGCGTAGTGCATGCACAACAAGAATAAGAGTGATCATGCAGCATGGGTGAGGGGCAAAGTGTATCAGTGCATGCACAAGTCAAATGTGAAGATTTTGTTCCTTGGCGACAGAAAGGACCCCCCCCCCCCCGGCGGGCAAAAAAGTTCATGGCATCATAGGTTGAAAAAAAAAGAGAAGACCAATGATAGGAAATATGAAAGGAACACATCAACTGAAAAGGAGAAAAGGAAATAAAAGAATAACACAAACATAGGTGGGCTCAAATGTAACGCCCATCTTCTTCCTATCCGAAGACTCCGTAGAAAACATTGCATACACAATATTTTACACTCCCAAATATTTATTCTGAGTGATAGTGTAATGCCCTGAAGTAATAAAAAAAAAAGAGAGAGAGATAGATGGGCCTAGGCCCATCTGCTGGTGCCGCCTCCCCCTTTTTCTCCTCCCTCTCTTGGCCGCCACCCATTTCTCCTTTCCTCTCCTGGCCGCACCTTCTTCTTTCTTCTTGCAAAAGTTTCCCATGGATCTCTTGCTCTAGAGCCTAAATCAAGAAGAAAAGTTAGGGAGCACGGGAGGAGCAGGGAGAGGTGTGGATTGGAGTTCTCCCACCGTTCTCCTTGCGGGATCTTCAAGGGAACCCTAGGTGAGACTTGAGTTTCTGTAAAGTGCAAGTTTTAGAGGTGTTCTGGATGCCTAAAAGTCGAGGAGGAGAAGGGATTAGAGAAGGGTTTAAGGGATGTTTTCGTTTTGGTCACGCAGTGGGTGGACAGGCAATTAGGGTTTCAGTGTTTTCCTTCTCTCCCTGTACAGCTGTAGATCGGTCTATTTTTGAGGTATTTACTGGCCGAATTAGGGGATTTCATATGAACGGAAGTTGTAGGGCATTTGAAGACCTTTCTAACGAGTATTTAAGCTTAATTTTTCGTTGAGCATAGCAAAAGTTATGGCTTTCTGAATGTTGCCGATGGTTACTGCAGTTCTATCAGGTCGGGGTCAGTTTCGAACTCCAGTTTTCAGCATCGTTTTAGAAGTTTTCGAGGCCATTTTGGTCCAGGGCGCTATGGAGTATTTTGTAGTACTTTGTATGAACTTTTCATTGAGTATTTAAACTCTGTTTTAGGATCAATGGCTTGGGAGGTATGGTTTTCTGAAGACAGAGTTGCTGCTCTAGAAACTCAGAGTAGTCTGTTGCTTTGTAGGCTGCATTAAAAATAGTAGATGTTGAAATTTTAATTTCTGCTGAATACCAAGGTTGTAGCTTATTCAGTGTAGACGCTTGCTAGCTATTTATTTGTTATCACAACTGCTACGGTTTCAGAGTTACAAAAAAAAGAACGAGCAGCACTGCTGCTGTTTATCGGGGTCAAGTGGGGGTTGTTTTTCATCGATTGCTTGTTCGGACGTAGGGCCGTTTTTGTTGATTGTTTACAAGTGTTATTCGGGGTATTTGTACTGAGTTCTTTGTTTTAAAACAGGTGGTAGTGCCTCAGATCGCCCCTAGTCTTTTTTGACCTTCTTCGGTAAAAAAGGCAAGTGAATGTAGCAGTGGTTCGCTACTGTTTTGACTTGTTATCTTTATCACCTACACCACAATGTTCGGAACCATGTCATAACAACTGTGAACTGAACCTTTCTGATGTTCCTCTCTCAATCGTAATTGGATGCCTTATTTCTTTATATATGGTGTGGTTGTGATGCACTGATGTTAGCGGTTCATGTGGTCAAATCACATGGCTTTGGAGAAGGTGAAGTTATATTGCTACTATTGTAGCATGTCATATGCATTGCATCATTCGAATGCATTGGAAGTTATATCGTTGACCTATGGTCACGACCGTACCGGTACAGCATCATGGGATGCAGCTCCATACCTTGTTGGGTATGCAGGCAGGAGTCATTTGCATTGCACTCATATGCATTTATGAAACATATTTGAAGTGACATGACCTTGCTAATATAATATTGAAGGTGTATCACGTCTCTGTGGTTTTATTTGGAGGTGTTTTTTACATTGGTTTTATATGTTGCTTATTCAGAGATGGAATCCTTTACTAAATCGCTGCTTAACACAACTTGTGATTTAAATAGCTAAAAATAAATAAATTTTACTTGCTGAGATGTTTTCATCTCACCCTTGCATTATTCTTCCCAGGTACTTGATAGTTGCTCGGATGGGAAGGGAGCTAGCTGCACGTTTCACACACCTTCATTTGGAGACTATTCCATAAACTTAATAACGTAGTTGTGATAATTAGTTTTTGTGGATGTTTATTTTATGCTAGTGTGGTCTATATGTGTCTTATCTTTGTTCTCACCTCCGTGTTGCTTATATTTATAAAGGAGATGCTGCCGTTTTTTTTTTATTTAGTATGTCCAGCCAGTGTTTGTGTTGTTTAGTAGCACCCTGGGGTGTTACAGATAGCGTCCAAATGATGGACCACCGGTGTAACCACTCCATCCCTGCGTAGCAAGAAAAACACTACGTAGCTGGAGCACCGCCGCACACCACCATTGCCCCATGCATGGTACCACCGGCACACGAGAGATGGAGGGACATTGGAACATAAAAAATAATTAATCTTTTATCATAAACAGAGGTGCTCAAATTTTGTCATTGCAACATAAAAGATGACACAATCTCCACAATAGAATCTAGTGTATGAAACATTGAAAAAAAATGATTGCAACATTCAATTTTGTTGCGACATCCAAGTTAAAGCCCCACTGTGATATTCAACTTTGTCGTATCATAACATGAGAAATCATCTATTTTAAGCACCAAAATTACCAATTAAAAGATTACAATATCTTATACCGCAACATGAAGAAACAATACATTTTGTAGATATATGAACAAATAAGAAAATTGAAACTTTTTTTTTGAGAGCGTGCATTAAGAGTTTTAAGTACACGCCCAATACCCCCACTTTGACGAGGTGCCGTAGGAGGTTGGCTGAACACATACATAAGGCACCACTAAACGGTAGGGAATGCTTTGATGTAGGTGAGCCTGGAACGCTCACTAGGCCGATGCCGTCGCCCTGCTCCGACGCTGACCAGTCTTAGGGAAGAGCTCCCACATGGCCGCCCGCTTGGAAGACGACAGGGGGTCCGCGAAGGTTTCGTGGAATCTGGTGGCGATGGTGTCGTCCGGGGTCCTGGTAGCCGCGTTCGTGGAGCGGTTGGTCCATTTGCCGAGGAGGACTCGCCGTGCTTGCTTCTCCGGCACCGGATCGCGATAGGCCGATTTCGCGGCCAGCCGATCACTGCGTCGTGGCACCAGATCATGATCGACTCGCCTCGTCGGTGGCGGACGAGGTGCCGAGGCGAGAATCGGCTCGACAAGGGGCTTCTTGAGGCAGGCGATGAAGGATGCGACGTCCACCTGTTGTGCGGGCGGCGGAGACCCATTGCCCGCAGTTGCCTGTACCCCAGTCGCCTGAGTAGCGAGCGGTAGGCGCAGCCGGTGCAGTCGACGTGGACGGTGCGACGTGAGGCGCCACAGGATGGGCCGAGTCGGCCACAATGCTTGGCCCAGCGGACACGCCCAGGAGGTCCGGGGATGGGAGCAGGGCCACTTCTGGGCCAGAAGGAGGTTGTGGAGTAGAGTCCCACGAGGGCGACAGAACTGGCGCGGAACAGTCGTTTGGTGGGACGCGCGCACCTGGAGTGGAGAGGAGGCAGCAAGAGATAAAGCAGTCTTTGGCATGGCCGCCCAACCCATGCCACCCGTCGAGCGCGGCTTCGGATGACCATGGAGGATAGGACAAACGACGTGGCCCAAGGCCGCGGCCGCAGCAACACTGAAAGTGGGCCCCGATCCCGTTCCCAACATAGGGTCCGGGGCCGCACCTCCCCGGCGCCTGTCCCGTCCCCGCCGCCGTCGCCATTGCTGAAGCGATGTCGACGCGGCCAGTGGCCAGAACGGCCTCCACCGAAGTCCCAGTCGGGGTGGTGGTTGTCATCGCTGTCGCCGGGAGCATCGTCCGATGACGACGGCGGCGCAGTCCAATCTTGGACTTCGATGATCCGAATACGGACCCCGTACTGGAGCACAGGCAGCTCAGAGTGAATGACCTCGTGTTCCCTCAGGTACAGTGTTGGTTCAACGACGAAAGGCACCTCGGGCTCCGGGATCGCGATCAGCCGCTCGTGTGGGATGAAGTCGGGGTGGACACACCAGGCCGCAACGACGAACTCACGCAGGTCCTCGCCGGCGGCGGACGCCGGGGCAGGCACCAGGTTGGCGCAAGAGGTCCCGAGGATCCGCTGGGCGGAATGGATACCCCAGATATGCGCCGGCATCCCCTTGAGGCCAATCAGCACCTTGTATTTGAGCGAGCCAGCGGCGGCCATGGATTGGCGGCGCCAACGACGCCAGAGCAGGTAGAACGGGGTCCCCATCGGAACCGGCCCCTGGAGTACGTCCTCGAGGTCGTCGGCGTTGTTGAACCTCACGAGGAAATCCTCAGGGGCATAGCGACATACCGAGAACGCGTCTGCCGGCAGGTTGTAGAAGGACACGAGCTGGCGACGAACATCAGCCGGAGAGACTGGGGGACGGTTCCCGCCCACCATGGCCACCAGGGCAAGCGACGAGAGGGCGGACTCCACCGCGTTGAGCTCCGCGGACCGCGGGATGACGAGTAGCTCGGAGGCGTGGCCGGGCGGAGGTGGAGGCGGTGGAGTGGGCGGTGGAGTCCGTGGCGACGTGTTCCCTCATGGAGGAGGCGTTGGCGACTGAATCTCCTGGACGGCCGGCCCCGCCTGCTGTTGCGCCGTTGACGCACGGTGGCAGCCAGGCGACCTCCGCGGAGACTCCGGTGCGCAGATTGGGGGCACCGAAGTCTCCCTGCCAGTGGAGCAGGAGCGGCCCGACACCGTGCCAGAGGACGATATATAGCCGCCGCCTCCTTGGCGGTCCCCTGTGCCTGGCGGAAGCACCGCCGGAGGAGGGGAGGTGACGCTTGCAGTTCCTTGCACGGTGGCTGGTGCTGTGGCAGAGGTAGCAGCGCGACGGGAACCTGCAGTGCGCGTGGACGTGATCGCCGGCGAGGCAGTTGAAGCATAGCCCGATGAACTCTGGAGGCACGGGCCGAGGACGGTGGGGAGGGGGAACTCTGCGCCCTAGAGAGGCCCGCGGCTGATGACGACGAGGAGGGGGGGGGGGCGGAGGTGGGGGCAAGGTCCTCCGACCAGGCTCACACGGCGGAGGGGAGCGGCGGGCGTCAGCCATGAACGTGGAGCGGACGTTGTGGCGGCGACGGTGACGCTTGGTCCTCCCCCGGCGCGGCCCTGCGACCGCCTTCCCCTTCCCGTCGACGACCACCGGGGAAGCTCGTCGGAGTCCTCGTCAGAGGCCTCCAAGTCGGTGAAGGAGATCCTGTCCTTGGGACCCCAGGAGGAGGGCCCCGCAGACCCCGGCGAGGCCCAAGGACCGGCGACGGGCAAGGCAAATTACAAAAGGCGCAAGCCGCCCACATGGGCGTGGCGGCCTCCAGAATGCCAAGGCGAGCGGGGGAGCTCCGCGACCGCCCCCCCTGCTCTGAGAGATCTTGGGACAACATGGGAGGAGACCGAGTAGAGAAAGGTGAAAGGGAGGTGGCCGGCGGGGCCTAGAAGGACACCGGCGGGCTAGAGCAGGATTACCTTTGTACAAGTTTTACCTCCGTACCGTTAAAAAAAGTTGGCCCTTTTCTACGTGTCATTAAAAAGTTCAGGCGCACCCAGGTGTCACGACACTTTATTTTTTTCCCTCCCAAGCCATTCCGTCCACCTTCTATTTGATTTTCACCGTTTAACAACTCTGACATGTGGACCTGATCGGTGAAAATGTCCAAAATACCCTTCTCTCACAATCCTATCCCCTCTCTGTTCGGTGGGGCCAAGCTATCAGCGACCCAGCACCTTCTTCCTCCTCAAGAAGAGTAGCGTGAGCTGAGGGTCTGGCCAGCGAGATCTTCAAGGCCGGGGCGGAGGTTGCCCACACGCGCGCCCGCCGGACCTGCACCGCCGAGCCCACCGGAGATCCGCCTTCTTCCTCTTCCTGCTGCTTGCGACATGGCGGCCCGTGGCGCGGCGGCCCACTCGAGGCGCTGGACGTCGCCGATGCTGAGGCGCTCGACGCCGAGTCGGCGCAGGGAGGTGTCGACGACAGGCTTGCGGACGGAGGCGTACACCTGCGCGCACTCGTGGTCGTACCCGACGGCGGCCATGTGGGACGCGAGGGCGTGGAGGTCCACGACGGCGTCATCGGGCAGCAGGTCGATCTTGCGGTTGCTCCGGAGCGAGCGGTAGGCGGTGCTGCGGCAGTCGATGGAGGAGGACATGGAGTCGTCCTTGTCGTCGTCAGCGGCGGCGGGGAGGTTGGCGGAGTTGGAGCAGTCGTTGTTGATGGAGAGCGAGCTGAGGTCGGCGAGTGCCTCGATCTCGAGATCGAGGGCGCGCGACGACAGCACGTGGCGAAACTCGTCCTCGAGCCACGCCATGGCGACCTGCATGGCGCCGCTCCCCGCCGCCGAGGACGACGAGAGGCCGGCGCATGGCGGCGCGAGCCGGCGCAGGTCGTCGACGGCGCGGAGAAACCGGTCGGCCTCGGCCTGGTCCCGCCGCCGTCGAACAACATCGGCTCATCCGCGCCGGCACCCGCCGAGCCCGCTACTGCCTGTGTGACCGTCCGAGCCCACCCCTGCACGGCCAAGCACCACTAGTCGCCGGAGCTGAGCCCACCCCTACCCGGCCGGAGCATCACCTCTACTGCACGAGTGCACGATCGGCCATGGCTGAAGGTTGAAGAAGATCTCTTTACAGTTTAGCCCTAACCTTTCTATCTTATAAATTCGCTGTATAATGTGTCTTGTGAATGTCCCTGATAGCCCCCTGTTAAACTTTACACATCTCATTTGGTCAGCGAGGTGAGGGCATTTGGGACTTTTTCCAACGCAGACTGACACCGTTAGATGGAAAAGTGGACGGAATGGCTTGAAAGGGATAAAATAAAGTGTCATGGCATCTAGGTGCGCCTAAACTTTTTAGTAACATGTAGGAAATGGCCATCTTTTTTAATGGTACATAGGTATAACTCTCATTACCTTTGACGGCAGCTGAATCCTAGAACTTATCGAAACATTTGATAATAGTTACCAAAATAAATAAAAATAGTTAATTCAAAAGTGCAAGCATTGACACGATACTCACAAGTAATCGATATACTTGCTGCAACATTGTACATTTATGGAAATGATAAGGCAAAAAAGCTCCTGTAACATATAAAAATATTGTCAAAAACAGTTTTAAAAACATTTGCAACATGTCTGCCATAAAATATGCACATTTCTTGCTAGCCCTTATGGTCTCTATGATGCCCCTATACCACATGAGTGGGCTGCAGAATCCTACACCTGTGATCACCGTCCCCTCCTCTTGCCATGCCTATTTACTCCCCACTCATTGCCGGTCTCCGATGACTCCCTAGTGAGGAATCGTCGCTGCTAGGCAGAGCTCTCTAGATGATGGCACCCCTCGCCCTCTATTAGATCTAGGAAGAGTTACAAAAAGTTCAAGCTCTTCCATGGGAGGGATGGCCAGTGCAGCCATAATATAAAGACATCATCCATAATATGTAAGAAGTGCTATTGAAACATCACAAAAGCACATGTTGCAACATCACAAAAAGACCTTGTAAGACCCTGTTTGCAACATCGAGAGGATTTAATCTCAACAATGTAAGCAAAAAATTTAGAACATCATAAAATCATTAAGTTTATGCCTCATCACAACATGTTTAGATCAAAATAAAGATTGATGAAACAAATCAAGATATCTACCACAACATCAATGAATTTCTATTACAACGTTACAGAAGCACAAGTTGCAACATCAAAAGAAAGGATCGAGGTGGCGAATAAGAATATGTTTTTGCTGCAATATTATCTCAAATTTGTTATGAAATCATCCATTGCAATATCAAAAACTCATTGATTAAACAACATCTTGAGAAACAAATAACATAAAATCGTAAAAATAAGTTACTGCAACATTGTCACCGCCCGGCACTGCTACCAATGTTCGCCCAGGTGTCGAGCTTGGGCGCCGCCGCAACCATGATGCCACCTGCCCGCTAGGCGGGGAACAACCACCTCAGACCGCTCTACACGCTGCACCGCAGGAAATCCCCCTACTGAGGAACTTGATTTTAAAATTCGTCACTAGTTATTGTGCATTTCCAATGTTGCAACCAAGCTATTGCGCCCATGGCTAGCTGGTTGGCTCACAGGAGACGAAGGAAGGAATTGGGTGTCGAGAAGGAGACGATGGTGGGGTGGGAGTCTAGCGTGATCTCATCGGAGCTTAGCGAGATGCTTTCCTCCTATTCCACCTCCTAGTGCGTCGCCTCCATGTCCTCCCGTGCTCGTCCACCTTCCGCGCCCCGCATCCTCCCCCGCCGCCCACCTTCCCCTTCCCCTTCCCTAGGCCAGGATGACAGAACGACCTCCATGATCATGAGAGGCCGCCATGTGAGTGGCGACGATGGCGCGGTCGAAGCAGTTAACATGAAAGCCATCGTCGGCGACGAGCTTGGTCAAGGTGCGACGGGTGGAGCTCCGGAGCGTACAACCATGGGTAGGGGCGGGAGCAGAGCTTACTCAGCCACACCGGTTGCGGGAGGCAGCCATAAGCTTGCCACATGGGAAGCCGAGGAACCGCTCAGTGGCGGCAAATGGTGGCCTGCACCTGCACGCCTTGGGCATCAGCGATGCTGTACAGCAAGGGTGGACGGTGGTGGAAAAGTGAGATGAGAGGATAACGTAGGAGAGAATTAGGGCCTGTTTGGATCATTGGAAAAGTTTAGTCCGTTGTTGGATAATACATAATAGGTGAAATATGGACTAATTAGAATTTTCTCTTTTTTTCTAATGAGTTCTACTCATCAATTTAGCTCTATTAGTTTTTGTCAGACCATAATTAGTTAATGTTTGGACCTTCTATTTGCATCAAACACATGGACTAAACTTTAGTTTAGCAGGCGGGAATGCTCAGCCACGGGCGCTCCCATGCAGACGCGGCTCCTAGTCCGCAGCGGACTGGCCTCTTAAAAACATCCCCACCATCGTGGTTTGGCTGCTCATCCGTCCACCTTGCTGCGGCCCCTTCTCCAACCATGCCCCGTCCCCATTCGCGCCGTGCCCTTTTCCCCACCGCGCCGCACCCTCATAGACGGCCGCGTCGTGCGCCATCCCACGTGAGCGGACGGCGCTGGACGACCATGGACGAGCGAGCAGCGACGCTGGAGTAGCAGCAACAAGGCCGCCGCCCCATGGGCGCGAGCCTGGGCCACGAGCAGGCATTGGTGAATCGTAGGAGGGCCGCGCTGCTGCTACACCGGCGAGCTCCATGTACTGCCGTTGATCCGCGTCGGCATCGTGCTCCGTAACGACGAGCGTCCATTCGTTGAAGCAGCAAGATGACATTGTGCTAAAAGCACATGTCGCAAGCGTATGTTTCAAATGTTTTAGATGTGTCATCTGGATGTTGTAAGTGTTTCATCTGGATGATGCAAAAATAGATCAGGATGTTGCAAGTGTTTCAGAATTATGTTGCAAGCGTCTGTTTCTAATGTTTCATGATGTTACATATGTTTCACATATATGTTGTGAGTATTTTATCTATATGTTGTGTATGTTTTGTAATGGTTTTCAGCTATTTTTGTATGTGTTTTCAGAAGCATATTTCAAGTCTTTTATCTGTCTTCTTTTGTATGTTGCAAGTGTTGTATCTATATGTTTTAAAAGTAGATCTGGATGTTACATATGTGTGCACGACATCGAGGGCACGTCAGGGATGAGGCGTAGCGAGACATGCACGGAGATGAACGGGGTGTGGCAGGGGACGGAGCGTGGTGGGGGATGGTGGCATGGCGGGACCGTCAATGCGCAGCGCTTTGTTCCATTACGCGGGGATAGACACACTCGCTCGAGTCACTTTCCTATTGCGAGTCGGTTTTAGGAATCACAGGCTAGGAGCTACGTCCAGACGCGTCCTAGCGCCAGACGTTCGGACGCTAGCTGTTCCCTTAGCCTATCCAAACAGCCCCTTAACAAGAGGCATCCAAGCTTGCTGGTGGGCCCCATCTGATGCGTCCCAACGCACAAATACAAGCATTTTGATTATAATTATCTAATTTTCTCTTAACGTAATAATCTGAGACGATGTAAGCACATGAGACTACTCTTTTGCCTCTGGCCAACTAAGGGTTTGTTGGATGCATGTGTATTTACTTTTATCCATATATGTTGAAATGGATTAGAATAAAACTTAGTTTAATTTCACTTCAGGTCTTGTTTAAATGTGCCACGTGTGTTGTATTGGATCATAGTAAAATTAAACTAAATTATATTATATTTTACTCTAACATATATAGATGGAGATGAATTCACGTGCAATTGAGCAACAGCTCGAGAGCTCAGACACATGTGAATCGAGATGCGCATCAAACTCACTAGAGCCGAGGATCCACGAGTCACGGCGTTTTCTTCCCGTTCTCTTCAGCGAGGGGAGAATCTCGCGAGACCGGGAGGGGCACCGTCCGCGTCGGCGGCGCCGACGGCCGCGCCCGCCGAGAGCGCACCCCGCCGGCTTCCCTCCTCCGCCCGCCGGCGACGCGCCCACCAAGAGCCCACCCGACCAGCTTCCCTCTTCCGCCCGCCCACATCCCTGCTGCCAACTGCGCCTCCCCGCCCGATCCTGTCGCGCCTGAGAGGACGCGTGCCAGGGAGCCGTCGGCCGCCGGAACCTGGCCTGCAGCCCGGGGGGAAGCGGCGACACGATGTTGCGCTGCGTGTACACGCAGCGGCGGTGGGCGCACCGCCGGGGAGGCTTCGTGACCGGCGGCACCGGTTGGTCCAAGCCGCCACCGCCGGGCCTCGGCCCCGCCGCGGGGGTGGGCACGAAGAAGTCGGAGTGGTGGGCGGTGGACGGGGAGATGCACGAGATCGGGGACGGCGTGCCGCATCGCGAGCGCTTCGCCATCCCGCGGGACAACCTCCCTAACCGCCGCCGCAAGCAGATGCGGGAGCAGTTCATGCGCCGCACCCGCCTCGTTCTCAAAGACTCGGTAAGCCGCGGCGAGCCTTACAGTTACAGTTCTTCCGCTGCTCTAGGACTGGCCGCCGTGCCTACTGGTTGGGTGGTTAGTTATTATGTGATGAATTTATTCTAAGCGCAGAACAGTATTGTGATGAATCATAAGTCGAGGGTATCCAATCGAAATGGGTTCAAATGTCAGCTTCTCCAATTGCATAGAACTGGAGTAGCCTGTTTATTTCTTCAGATGATTAAGTGAAATCTATTATTGCGGAATGGCTCCTTATTCATTCTGGAAGGATTTGGTAAATTTAAAATGTGAAAGGAATTATGCTGGTTCATTTGCATTCATGTAACAAATTCATCAGTCGCCAGTGATTCCATTGACACTTGATTATGAGTCCATGATGCAACTTTGTCAGATTGGAATGAACTGAATCGGAACACCATTATTATTTGAGATGATTGTCCATGCTGGCAACTGGCATGCATTTTATGAAGTTTGGAATCCTAGGACATGTAAAAATTTTGAGGCACGTGAACTGTCTTACAATTTATTGATTATGGTGGCCTATAACTATAGGCCCAAACTGGTTTCTTTGATGCTAGGAAGCTGACTAGTGAGCACCACAAATTTACAGGAACACGAAACATGGTGCAAAAAGTACATGGAATTATACCAAGAACTTAGAGAAAACTGGGAAAGGTTGTACTGGGACGAAGGTTATTCAAAAAAGATTGCTGAATCTCATGCTAATTATGACTCTGCTCAAGAAGATGATCTTGACTTCTCGCCATACAGGTAGCAAATGGTCAACAGTTCTCTTCTGTTTTCCTTGCTTAATTTAATTGGTTATTTTTTACACCATATAACATGCTTTTGCTTTCCATTGTAAGCTTTTGGTCATACCCAGTAGAACTGTGCCCTCACAATTGTTTGTTGGATTGTTGCAACTTCAAATTGTTTACGAATATGTTTTGATTTGTAACCATTTGAGTGGGTCATGCTATATCAAAAAATTAGTGGAAAAAGTATTTTATATCCTCATTCTGGAAACAGTCTCATGTCATGTACGGTCAGATGATATATGCTGAGAGGCGACGTGCGCTGACGTCCGACGACGTATAGCAGAGCGCTTCACGATCAAAGCACGCCATACGACGACCATTCTCCTGGAACCGAAAGTGGCTAGAAGGAAGGACGGAAGGAAGTTTAGAATATCCCTTAATTATAGGAGTTATTGTTTAATTATAGAAGTGTGGTTTCCTTTCCGTAAATGTACCGCATGGCTATATATTACGTATACTCAACCGTGGAAAGGAAGGAAGATCATTACTCTAATTCTATCTCTCTCTCAACTCTCAAGCCCGAACCGCCGTGAGGGGCATAACCTCCGCGATCGGAAGACACGGCACGCGAGACTCTGAACGAAACTCCGTAGTCGAGGGCCACCACCTAGATCACCAGTGCCCTTGACAACTTCGGTATCGCGATCCAATCGATCTCCTCTTCCTCCGTCGCCGCCGCCGCCATCTCCGACCCCATGAGCCGAGCCCCACCATGGCCGAGCCCACCTCGGCCGAAGTCATGGAGATGCTCAAGACCACGACCACGAAGATGACCACCATGGAGTCCGACATGGCCGCCATGAAGGACAAGTCCGAGTCGCCCTCCGGGCGAGGCGACGATCGCCACGACGACGCTGCGCGCGGTCGGGACTTCCACCCCAAGCACAAGAAGTGGGACTTTCCCGCTACGATGGCACGACCGATCCAATGCTCTTCGTCAACAAATGCGGTTTACTTCCGCCAGCATCGCACCACCGTGGACGCAGCGCCGCGTGCCCATGGCGTCGTACCATCTGGATGACGTCGCGCAATTGTGGTTCACCCACCAGCAAACCGATGAGGGCACGCCGAATCGGAGCCACTTCAAGGATCTCTCAACCTCCGGTTGGGCCCCTCTTCGATCCGCGCCCATGTTCGAACTCTCCGAAAAGCCGGCGCGCAGACGGCACCGTGGAGAATACTCCAACCGCTTCTGTGCTCTCCTTCCTCGCGCCGGCTCGAGGAGACGCAACGCGTCCGGCTCTACACGGGGCCTCCTCCCACCGCTTACCACGCCGTCCAGACTCCACGACCAAAAATCTCGCCGAAGCTATGAGCCTCGCCTCGCCAAGTGGAGCCGATGGAGAGCGAACGGTCGGCAACACAACCACCACGGGCGGCTCATGAGGCCTTCCCCACCATGGCCAGGCGGCGTACCCGGCGCGCCGCCGCTTATATCTGGCGCGCCCCCCCTCCGGCGCACAAATGTCACACCGAGGGAGGCCAACGACGCCTCACTCCCGGCGAGATGGCGGAACGGCGCGCGCCAAGGTTTGTGCTTCAATTGTAATGAGAAGTACTCACGTGGTCATAATAGGTTCTGCGCCGCTTCTTCTTCCCCGGACGGGTGGAGATCGGCGACCCCGACGGCGAGCTGCTGCTGCTGGGCAAACGACGGGGCGGGCGAGGCCCCTGCTTTCTCCCTTCATGCCGCGGCGGGCGTGACCGTGGGTGCCCCATCTCCCGCCGGTCACCACCCCGGGCGCCACGACGCTCATCGCCTCGGTGGACACGGGTCCACGCACAACTTTATCGGAGAGGCGGTGCACACCGCTGGGCTCGCCATCATACCCCGCCATGCGCTCACCGCCACGGCCGCTAATGGTGAGAAGGTGGCGTGCCTGGCGCCTTCGGCAGAAGCGGGTTATCTCCATTGAGGGCACGACGACGTTCGACGTCGACCTTTACGTCATGCCCTCGCCGGCTACGACATGGTGGTGCGGGCACCCGGTGGATGGCAGCCCTAGGGCGATCGCTCGACGCCACCTCCCACACGCCGTCCCTTCCACCACGACGGGCGCCCGCCGCTGGTCCGGCGTGGCATGCCCGGAGCGCCACAAGACACGCCGCGACCACCGGCGAAGTCCCCTCGTTGGAGGGCTCGCTGGACTCGTTCGGGATGTCTTCGCTGCCCGACGGGTTCGCTTCCACCACCAGGCCGCGTGCCCACCCGATCGTTCTCAAGCCAGGCGCGACACCGGTGGCGGTCCGTCCGTATCGTTACCCGGCGGCCCACAAGGATGAACTGGAGCGCCAATGTGCGGCCATGATCGAGCAAGGGATCGTTCGCCGCAGCACGTCGGCGTTCTCATCGCCGGTCCTCCTCGTGGCGAAACCGGATGGCTCATGGAGGTTCTGCGTCGATTATCGAGCGTTGAACGCGCTCACCGTCAAGGATGCTTTCCCGATTCCCGTGGTGGAGGAGCTCCTGGATGAGCTTCACGGCGCCAAGTTCTTCACCAAGCTTGATCTGCGTTCGGGCTATCACCAAGTACGCATGAAGCCGGAGGACATCCACAAGACCGCGTTTCGCACGCACGACGGCCTATATGAGTTCTTGGTGATGCCTTTTCGCCTATGCAATGCGCCCGCGACGTTCCGATCCCACGATGAACGACGCTCTTGCGACCGCTCCTTCGCCGGTTTGTGCTCGTTTTCTTTGATGACATACTAATCTCATTAGATGCGTCGTGGGCGGATCACCTTCGACATCTTCGCTGGTCTTGTCCGAACTTCGCACCAACACCTCTTCGTCAAGCGATCCAAGTGCGCCTTTGGTGTCACGTCGGTCTCCTACCTCGGCACATCATCAAGGAGACCGGCGTGGCCATGGACCCGGATAAGGTGAAGGCCATCCACGATCGGCCGGTGCCCAAATCGGCCCATGGTCCGCAATCGGCCTCGCGGGCTACTACCGGCGCTTCGTCCTCAACTACGGCGCCCATCGCGCTCCTCCGACGGCGATTGAAGAAAGAAAGGCTTCTCCGGTCGAGGAGGCAACTGCGCATTCGAGGCGCCGAAGGAGGCGGATGTCAAGACCGGGTCCCTCGCCTTCCGGACTTCAAAAAGCCGTTCGTCGTCGAAAGTGTGATGCTTCGACGTCGGGTTCGGCGCCGCGCTTCAAGAAACACCGATCGCGTTCTTCAAGAAAGCCGATCGCGCCACGCCACCGCTTCTCTCGCAGCGTATGAGCGGGAGTTGATCGGGCTCGTCCACGCCAGACGCCATTGGCGCCCGTGCACTGTGGGGCCGCCACTTCACCGCGTCGTCTTGATCACTACGATCTCAAATTTTTGTTGGACCAATGATTGTCCCTCAACATCATTGGGTCGAAGCTTCTCGGTTTCGACTTTGAGGTCGAATATAAGCGGGTGCCCGTAACGTGGTCGCTGATGCCTGTCTCTCGCCGTGACACGGAGGACAAGACGAGAGGCTGTGTGCTCGCCTGCCGGCGCCGAAATTCGACTTCATCGACAAAGCTACGTCAAGCGCGTACTACGGACCCGGCGCTTGTGGCTCTCCGGAGAGATTCTTGTCGGCACTCATGCCAAGGCCGTGGGCTGTCCGCGACGGCATGGTGACCTACGCGGGGCGACTCTACATCGCGCCGTCGTCCCCATTGCCGCCCCGGAGATTGTGGTCGCCATCCATGAGGATGGCCATGAGGGCGTCCGCCAAGACGCCGAGATAGGCTCGGCGTGACTTTCACTTCCGGGGATGCGTCGGCCGTCCAAGACTTCGTCTCATACAGGCGCGTGCGTGCTGCCGCTCAAGTCCGAAACACTGCACCGTGGGCTGCTTCTTTGCTCGCGGTGCGTTGTCGATATGGTCCGACGTCGGATCGGACTTCGAGAAGCCCTTCCGAAAGTCCGCGGAAGTCCGTCATACTCACCGTAGTGGACGCAAGCACCACACTTTATACCTCTTGCTCACCCATACACCGCAGAATCCGCCGCCAATGCGTTCTTCGCCGACATCGTTCGCCTCCACGGATGCCGCAATCTATGGTGTCCGATCGCGACCCGTCTTCACATCGACGCTTTTGGCGAAAGCTCATGCGGCTCATGGGTTCAAAGCGCACATGACCTCGGCGTTCCACCCGCAAAACCAAACCGAGGCCGCGAACAAGGTGATCACCATGTACCGCTACCGCTTCACCGGCGACCGCCCCCGCCAATGGCTCCGGTGGCTTCCACAAAAAGATTCATCTACAACTTCGGCGTACTCTCTCCGTGACACTCCTTTCCGCATCGTCTATGGCGGGATCCGCCAACTCTACGCCCTATGAAGCCGGGAAACGCGTGTGGCGGCCGTCGCCAAAACTATGGTGGCGTGAGGAGTTTCGCGGGACATCCGTTTCACCGGTCAGTAATTCGTAAACGCCACTCGACAAGCATCATCGGGAGGTGTCCTACGTTTGGGTGTTCTTTGCGCCCTGACACGACCGCTCCCATCGCGTCATTGAATCGCCGACGGCAAGTGAAGCCCCGATTCTTCGCCCCTATCGGTGATCGAGGTGATCAACGCATCGCATCGGTGGCACTTCCGCCCGAAAGCGCGACTTCATGACGTCTTTCACGTCGGGCTCTTGAAGAAGTGGCGGTAGCGCGCCCGACCACTCCACCACCTCTCCCGTCGTCCACAACGGCGCCATGGTGCCGTAACCGAACATGTGGAGCGCCCCGTCTCGCAAGAGGAGTCGCCAGTCCTCGTCTTGCCGGAAGGGGAGCCATTGTCATCATCATCTTGGGAAGACTGGGACACTTTCCGCGAACGTTTTCCGGCGTTCCAGCTCGAGGACGAGCTGGTCCAGAAGGAGGGGAGAGATGTCATGTATTTATCGCTGGAGGCGACGCGCACCACGTCCGACGACATGAGTCGCAGAGCGCCATGACCAGCACTGCGCGACGGACGACCA